AAAAAAAAAAAAAAAAAAAGCAAACAGAATGACCTGGTCAGGTGAAGGAAAATAAGTTTTTTGGTCTTACAAATCTGAAGGTAAAGGATATTTTTTTTGGGGGGGGGAGGTTTGTTATTTCTCCACAAACTTATTGAAAATTATGATGTAAACATATCCCTGTGGAGTAAGGAATTATGCCTGCAGGAAGCTCTATAAAAAGAAACTTTTGCTATCTAAGGAAATGAACATGTAATTGGAACTCATTTGGTTAATACTACATTTTAGGTAAGATTTACTTAGGAAATAAAAGGAAGTGCAGTAAACGGACAGTGTGATCATCAGCTAATATCTTCCAGTGTGTCAGCAGAAACTTCAAAGAATAAGGATCACTCAGTAAGAAATTACCGGCCATGATAAGTGGTCAGGCAGGTTAGGGAGGTTGTGACCAGCAAGTAATCTGAGAACACTGGTAACCTGAAAGCAAGATGTCTAACTTCAGGGCTGCAATAAGAGAGCCAAGAAACATTTTATAGAGCAGAGAAAAATTTATACTTACATTAACATGTTATCCGAGGTGCCCATATTAGGGTGGGAACTTTAAGCTTTAGGGTGGAACCTTGAGTTTAGACTTGGACATTCTAATTTCCAATCCAAAAGATTTAATCAGTGGTCTTCTGGGTCACTCTGGGGGTGGGGGAAGGGAAATCAGATAATGTTGATTTTTCCTTTGGGATGACTGAGGAAAAAGTAATAGAAAAGTACAATATTGTTACATGCTTGATTTTAAGGACACATGGCTCCCAGATCAACAGTCAAGAGTAAGCACACTGAGATGTAAAACTTACTACAAAGTTTATCTTCACAGTTATTTGGACAGTCTCTGCATGGAGTTCCCTTATTATAAGGTACCTTCTTTTTGTCAGGATCATTGCCCCTTAAAAAGAATAAAGCAAAAAGGGCCTAATGAAATTGATGTTTGAAAAATGCATATAAAATTTTACTCACTGTTGAAAATCAATTAAAATAATTTAAAACAATGAAACAATTTTTGAAAACCACTTGTAGCCACTTGTATGTAATCTCTAAGACATGTAAGATTTCTAGCCTTAGAATGAGAATAATTTATCTTTTTGAATATACCGCAGGCAACTCTGAGGTGCTAAGAATATTCTGAGACAATTTGCATCTCTTTTGACAGTCAAGTTCTAACAAGCAGGGGGCTTTAGAAACATTTATGATAGGACTCTTATCCTTATTTATATCCATAAGGACTTGATAAACATTTATGTAAAAGAGCATGGTTCTTAATAATGTAAGAAAAGTTTTAAGTGAGTCAAATTGGAGATGTTCTAACTTCATCTTGCCCTATATCATGAGAATTTTGATACATGTCAGTGTCATTTGTAGGAACACATGCACTATTTATTATAAAAGATGAAAGTACAACAACATGGATAAAGCCAAAGTGTTGGAGTTTGGGGAGAGAGAATAAATGAGAATTTCCTGTTTTGAGCCAATTTAAAATTTCAGAGAAGACGGTCTTCCCTTAGATATCTAAGAAAACAATGGGGATTATGGCTGATTTTCACTTAAATTGTTTTTCTTTTGGAAGAGAGGAAGGTTTATTGCAGGGCCAAGCAAGGAGAACAAGTGGCTTGTGCGTTCTCAAAAAACCCCAAACTCCTGATTTTCACTTAATATTACATAAAAAATAAAGTAAATATTCTAGTTGAAACAACATTCTATCTGATCTATTTCTCCTTGGATGAATTGTTAAAATTTGAATTTATAAAAGAAACATTACTTAATTCAGCAAGGGGTTTTGTCAGACTCTTGGCCTCATCTTTGGCTGAGAAAATTCTCATAGCTCAGCCCCATGTATTCTACTTTTCTTTTCTGTGTTGTCAGAAGTTTACTGCAGACCATGAGCTCCCATAAGGATTTAGTACAATTGATGCATTGTATATGCAAGGAGACCTTACTGTCGTTAGTACTAATCACACAGATAAAATCACAACAAATATTAAGTACTGAAATCAAGACATGATAAAACCAGAAAAGAGCTCACATAGAGCTACTGTATGAACGTTACATCTATTGAGTCTACAGGGATAGTGGAGACCTCATTTACAGTGTAAATATGGTAACTTACTATGAGAGAAATCAATTTCATTGATTCATGTTGCATATCTTTTATTGTGCTACACACATGGGAACTGAGAGTTCAATAAATACCATACTTGGAGCTCATCTTATGGAGGAAAGACTTGTGTATTGAACAAGTAAGCACAGGTAGCTGAAGGAGACATTTGCAGACCAACAACTTTCCTTAGCAGAAGAACATTTAAACTGGCATTTATAGTAAACTAATGGAGGTTTATATCCAGCTCAGAACAATCCCTGCTTTCTGATAATCACCACTCAAGCCACACAAGTGAGTCCCTGTGGGTTCTTGCAATTACCTTTTCTGAAGTTGACCTTGCTTCATAACCAGAAGTGACAAGACAAAGGAGTACAGCTGTCCCTAACCAGAGCAATCAGAGGATCTCTTCTTGGAATTGTTGCTCACACCTTTGGTAACATGTAAATTTACTTTCTAAAGGAAATACATATGTCAATACTAAAATACTAAATACAAAAACACTTGGCTTTTTCATTTGTTCATTCTTGATACTCCACTGCATTTTTGCCCTTGCAGTCTAAAAATACTCTTGCATTGTTAAAAATAAATATCCTTTTTTTTTGCTTAAGATAGATGAAATTTGTTTCTCTTAACTAATAGTACTTGAAGAAGGAATAACACATAGCGAGATGACTGGTAATAGTGCCTAATTTGAAGTGCCTTATTGAGATAAGGATTTATTTAGAAAAATATAAATAAAAATATGTGTGTGGGGGTGTACTGTTTTAGGTGTTGGCTAGAAGACATTGTATCCCTAAAGTTCTTAACTGAAAAGAAATATTTATTTGAGTTTTATTTTATAATGGTTGAGAAACTAAATTAGGGAAACTAGTAAGGGAAATATATTTCTAAAAGCTATGTGAAACTAAGCTGTAAAATACATACTCGTGACAATAGTGACAGATGTAGATACTGAATTCCTTTACGACATGATGATATGCCACAGCCAATAAGGTAAGAAGTGGCCCAAACAACCTGTAAAGATAAGGTTATTTTATTAACAATTTGGTATTTTGCTAAATGATTATTCTCTGAATATTGTTATCCTTGATTGAAAATAAACACACGTGTTTTTAGGATGCTTTGAGCATGGCTTATTAGGAAGTCCTAGAAACAGGATTCCCATGTGTCTAGATAACACACATACATATGCACACTCAGTTGCCATCGCTGACCCTGACTCATTCTCTTCTTCTTATCAAATCTATATGGAATAACCTGATGAAGGCTGCTTGGTGATCATATAAAAATCAAAGCATGGAAGGGACTTTACTTAATCATCAAAAAACTGGCATGGTGGAGAGTAACGAGTTGACCTTTGAGAAAAAATTGAGTCAGGTTCAAAGTCTGTCTCTACCACTTCCTGGTGGGATGGTATTTACCAGTTTGCTTTATGTCTTGAAATTTCATTTTCCTATTCCTAAGATGGAATATAATAATATTATCTTTTACATCATAGGTATATGGTGGGGATTAAATAATAAACCTTTTAAGTGTCTGGAAGAGGAAATATTAAATTACTATTCCAAAGTAATAGAGCTCATGCTCTTTTGATGGAAATAGTGGGGCTAATCTACTTTTATCTAAAAGAAATGGAAAGTAGGAATTGACGTCACACATTTGTCATATTTTTAGCTCCCTGGGTAATTATTTTGGTTTTTATCCTCTGTCTGATAACGTAAATTATGTAAATGTCTAATGCTATAACATTCTTGGATTCCTGGCACATACTGCTTTTGTCCAAGGATATCAATCTTAAAAGAAGAATGCCATTTGCTAATCTTTTACTTAGAAATGTCTGCATTGCTATACATGAGTGATTTAAGTCTATGAGTTTTAAATGTACTATCTTTGTCAGCTTTTAACATTAATCTTAAGTAGGCTTTATTTTAAGTAATTTTATTACAGATTTTGCAGTCACATCTGAGTCTTCTGCTTTGGGGACAACAGCTGGTTTTCCATTTTTGTATTTCTTGCATGTTCAATGTTTAAATCTATCCATTCTGGATGAGTTTTGTTAATTTATTTTTTACTGGAAAATAACTCACCTGATTTAGATATTCAAAGTCATTTTTGTAGAATTAATTTATTATCTACACTGAAGCCCAATGGTATTTTAAAAACATGAATCAGGTTAAATCATTCACCTGTTTAATGAATTCTACAGCATTTAAAATACAATGTAAAATTGATGATAGCTAATAAGGCTCCAGTGACAGAGTCCCACTTCCCTTCTGTGTTCATCTCCTTCCACTCTTGCATTTATCAAGTTTCAGCCTCCTTTTCCAACCCCTTCCCTAGTTTTTTCTCTGTCCTTGCACATACCCAGATCCCAGATACTGGTTTCCAAATATTATTTCCCACTAAAAGTAAACAAAAATCTTTAAAGGGTGTAAGTTTGCAAAAAATGGATAGAATGATTTTCCATGGTTCTCATTCGCCTATTTTCCACACATGCTTATATTCACTTAACCAATGGGTATATTTGCCAGCACACAGTTTACCTGAGTGTAATGCTCAATCATCATGTCATCTGTTGAGGCCCATTCCCCATACTTGAAATATTTAGACTCACTGTACCAGATTCTGATTACGTTTGACCATGAGATAGGATAAGATGTCAGATGCATATTTTCTCCACAAAAAGTATCTGAAAGGAGGAAAAAGGGCTAGGTCATACTCTACAAAATTTGGAAATACTTTATAAGGATACTTTTCGTACTTTTATTCTACAAATGTTTCACTGGGCATCCAAGCAATGTTTGATAAGAGGAAGCAAACTCAGCATTATCTCTGCTAACACTTTTCTTTCTCACTGATGAATAAACTTGTGGTGCTCAAGTTTGCTGAGAATTTGACAGTAGGAGATGATCTGCAAGCTTGGGAATCAGATCAACCAACATTTCAGTCTCTGCCATGTCCAAGCTGATGGAGAAGGGTGAAACCAATCAGAATAACCTATGCATTGTAAACAGGCCCATGGCTTGATAGCAGCCACACAGAGGTATTCATCACGCATAGACCTTGAAATAAATATGTGCTCATTTAACCATCCATCCTCTTGTGATGTGGGCCTTGATCAAATATGATATTTGGGAGTAAACTGCCCTTCTCTGGAGCAGGGAAGACTCACATTGCTAATTCACAGCTCAACAACATTGGGTAAAGATGCCCAATAATCTGTAAATATAGCAAGGGGACTCACATTGCTAATTCACTGCTTAACAACATTGGGCAAAGATGCCCAGTGATCTGTAAATATGGAAGTTTCATTAATATTTAAAAATATTTATAATAAACAAGTGTCCTGTAAATGTTATTAATGTCTACTTGTATAGGAGGTACTGACGGCTTTTCTGGAAACCAGCAGGGGTCCACCTAATATACATGCCATGAGATGGACTCATTTTTGAGCATCTAAAATTGTTCTCATGGGCAGCTCAGTAGAGTTGGATATAACTCACTTCTCAACTGTTATCAGTGTTCCAAAGCTAAGGATAGCCCCATGGTAATATTGTGAGAAGCTGAAATAAATATATAGAGTGGAAACCTTCTAGCTATACAACTTTCCAGCTAGTCATCATCATATTACTGAATTCTTCTGTGATAGTGAGAGCTTGGATTCTTTTCTTTTGGTCATCAGAATCAGGAATTTGAAAATTTGAATTTCCAAATTCAAAAATTAATAATAATGAAACAGTGCAATGGGCCACAATTCCTGAGAACTTTTGAGCAGAAAGGTGTGTCATATGCCTACTTGTAATTCGCCTCTTAAGTGCATTGCTCTCTACCAACTCACAATCTTTTGACAACATTCTGGCATTTCTTGCAGCTTCTTCACTCCAATTCTACAGGTGAAATACAAGCAAATGTGGCCTTATTAACATTTCTTTGATAAGATTCTAGTTTATTGTTTCCAAAAATCCAAGGCTAGCAATATCCTCAATTGTATTAGCTAACAATTTAAATCACAGCACCTCTCTTAAATATTTTGGTTGGAAGAGGAAGACAAATCTTTCAATCCATTGTTTTAGCCCTTGAATTTACAAAATCAAAATTTGGCCGTAACATTCAGTTGTAGCTTCTCTTTCAGAAATATTAAAGAAATTAAGTAAATGCTTCCAGTAAAACAGACCAGGGTTAGAAATCCATCCCATCATTTATTAGTAGTTTTACCTCTGACACATTATTTAATCTCTTTGAATCTCAGTTTTCTTTTTCATCTGTAAAATGTGCCCCACAATTCATACCCAATAGCTTGTTCAAAAGCTTTAATGTGATAATTTATGCAATACAACTGTGGCATGATAAATCTTATGCTACATGCTCAATAAATAAATATTTCTGTGATTAGAAACATGTATAGTATTACACATCTCCATCTAAATTATGAATAATAATAATAGCAAATCATAGCTAATACTTCATGCCAGGACCTCTTACCAATTCTATATGTATATTCTCTCATCTTTACTCAAAGCAGTTCTACAAGGGATGCACTGTTGTTATCCCCATCTGCAAATCAGGAAACTGAGGTGCGGAGATGTTGCATAAGTTTTCAGGATAATACAACCAATAATGGCAAAAAGAGAACTGGAATCCAGGTTCTTCTGGCTCTGGCCTGTGTGCTCCTAACTCGTGACGTGTGTCAGTTGTGCTAAGCTGAAGCATTTTGTTGGGTTTTTCTCCAAAGTAGATGAAAGGCAGAAAATCTACTAAAAAGAGACAAAGTTTGTATCTACAAATATGAGGTCTTTTGTGTAGAAAAGGATAACACATTTTTGTAGTTTGAATGAGTCACACACAAATCAAAGGACACGGGACTGTGTCCACACTAGTTATGGGACTATGTGACGGATGTCCTCCCAGGCATTCTTTCATTCTCACATTATGCACATCCCCTTAAAAGACTGTCCCAATACCTGCCTGCAACACATTATTACCAACAAAAGTTGTGGCCTGTCTTATTTACTACAGGCTTTCACATAAATCATTCAGCTACGCTTGAGAATAATTTTTGAATGATGCCCTAACTTAGGTTTCCAATATTTTTCCTGACATCAAAGAAGTTTCTCTCTTATATGCATAGGCTGCCATCTGTGTGAGTTTTACAGAATTACCCCTCAGGTTGATGAATTGGTTAAACTGTGAGGTTAATTAAGTAACTCATTAGCCTAGGGTCAAAGTAAAAATGAGTTTTTTTAGGGTTTGACTGTTTCATGCAAGAAAAGATGTATTTCAGTGATGGATACATCTAATTGAAAAAGTAGAGATGACATAACACATCCCATTAGGGCATAGCATCTCCTGGCAGTGGGGATACCATCATTGGACTCACAAGCATAAAATCTTGCCTATTATGACCAGGTTACCAAATAAGTAGGACTGGAACTTATCTGGTTAATTTACTGCTGATTGCTAGTTGTGCATGCATGATGCACTACCCATACCCAGATCACTTTCTGAACTGAAGCACTTATTTCCTCTTAAGCTGAGAGTCCTGCCCTACTGTCTTCTCTAAAAATTATCCTCATTGGCAAGAATACTCACTTCCCTGTGGCAGCCTACATCTAACAGCAAGTAGCTGTAGTAACTATAAGTGCCATGTAACCTCCCTCCAACTCAGGACAAGGTTGTACTGAGTTGTCCTAGTTGTACAGCCTCCCGTAGGATTACCTGAGGCCCCTGTTATGCCTACATCACAACCAAACTTCTTTGTATGCTCTATGTTGCTTCTCTATCTATATCCATGGTCGGTGTAAATCTGGAGATTATTCCCCAATAAGCATCATGCATGCTAATCTCCATCTCAGAGTCTGTTATCTTATTGTGTAAACTACCTGCAACATTAATTACAAACAGTCTGTAGTTCAGACCTCTTTGAGGAAGCTCTTTAGAATATTTCCTCTGATTAATGTTGCTAAGGTACTAATTTTTTTTGTGATACATCCATGATTAAAATCAAAAGTATTCATGGTTATTGCAGCAAAGTTATGAATTCTGGCTTTAATAAATGGTTCTATTCAAATAAAATTCTAATCCCATGTGCAGAAACTTTTTTCATTTTTGGAAAATCTCTGCCTGGCAGTTGTGATTGGCTCTTCAGCCCTACTGTAATTCTATCAGTTCATTTCTGTCTGTGCCCTATGCATTATTTATGGAAAAACTCAACTCCCATATTCCCTTTAAAATGTTACTCAGTTTTACTGGTGCGCTTACTTTATCATCTTGTTGATCTCTCATACCTTTGCACCTTAGCACTTGAATATATTCATTCTCTGTATTCAAACAATATGTTCTAATGTTTCCTCTGTATTCACCTTGAATCCACAATAATAAAGTCTCTGAAATCAGAGACTATATTTTCTGTTCACTCCATAACTTCTTTACTACATCCCAGCTACACTTATTTGCTCATCTGGAAACCAAGGATTTTGAACCCTGTTTGTCCTAAGGAAGGTAAAGAGTTAAGAGCAGGTGCCTGGAGCTGGCCATTTGTATTTGAATCTGTACTGATCCAGTACTTAGGACTTTGGATGAGCTACCGAATTTCTCTGAGGTTCAGATTCACTGTCTGTGAAATAGAGATGATAGTATCATCTATATCACAAGATGGCTGAGAGAATTAAATGAAATAATGCAATACGCTTCTAGAAGACTGCCTGCCAATCAATAGTAAGCACAATATGCATGTTAGCTACAGCACTCACAATGCAAGAATGCCTATGCTACTATTGGCTTTTATTGTTTTGGATTCTAAGATGACCAAGAGATAAATTTCAAAATCATTTTTTCTTATCCCTAGCTTCCTCCCTCTTTGTCATTTGCATGAGGAAGCTGTCTCTTAGAATCACTTCCCATAGCCTGCATTATTTCTGACCCTTGTTACTCTAAGCCAGTCCAGGGCTAAAGAGCCAGGCTTAAGATACCAAAAACCTGAGTGATACTTTCGGGATACAATATAGGTGAGGCTAATCACCTAATACACCCGAGTAGTCCCTAAATCTGTTTGTTTGACAGCACCTAGTCTGCTCATGCAGCAGGTTTATAGTGGAAAAACAATTTCTCTTTTCTCTTATGGGATGCCAGGAAACTGGGAAATAGATTTGCCAATATTTGTTCATCTGGCTGCACCACGTGGCTTAGAACCTGGACATCTTGATTCTCAGAGAGTGTCTTAGCCTCTGGGCTGCTGCTCAGTGAAGACAGCTGTGAAATGCCTCTGTAATTTATTAAACAAAGTCTGCTACACGGACGATACTGACCGGCAGCATCAGCATCATCTATGAGCTTGGAGTGGTCCCCACCCCAGACCTCCTTAATCAGACCTCAGAGAGTGGGGCCCAGGGACCTGTGCCTTACCAAGTTTTTCAGCTGATTCTTAAGCACGCTTAAGTTTGACAAGCACTGTCTTAGGGTCCATTAAGAGTGAAATTAGACTTTCTGCATTGGAATTGTGGCTCTGTCATTTACTAACTCGATGAGTTTGGGAAAACTACTTACCTTCTCTATGCCTCTCTTTCTTCTGCTGCTGCATGATAGGTTTGTTTGTGAAGACCAAACTTTTAGTATATGGAAAGCAAAGAGAACTTAATAAAATCTCAGTAAACACCGTTACTATTATTGGCATTGCTGTGGTTGCTGTTTAATTAATCTTACCATTTTTAGCATGTTGCCGGCTGGTGGAAATACTCCTCTCCTGAGGGTGTTATGTACAGTCACTATTTCTTCTTGGACAGTTGCCGGTTCCGTAAGGAGTGTATCATATGGAACTTTAGGTGGTTTTGCCTGTTCCCAGAAAATTTTAATTAGTCTTACTTCTTGTCAGTGGAATTTGCAATGCATAGTATATTACTTGTAGACTTTGTGACATGAATTTATAATTGAATGAATAGTAATCTACAGCAGTTTTTAATCTACATCTCAGTATATTAGTCTCCATTTCTCCAGTGCTGGTTTTGAGGACTTCTAAACGTCAGCCTGACATTATACAAGTCTATATAGAACAGTGACTAGAACAGTTGTGACTGGTTTTCTTCAGATTTATGATTGGTATTTTGGACCATGTTGAAGCATTTTATTGGGCAAGGTGCACCACAGTGGAAGATGTTTTGATAATATTACACCTTTTACTGACCGACTTCCCTTCCTTAGCTCATTCTTCACCCCACCTCCTACACGCCTTCTCTCTGCTTCCCAAATAAGCACTTGCACTTGAATATTAGTTAAAGGTATGTGTCTGGGAGAATCTAAAAGATTCATTATTGAGTACAAAACCTCTAATATCTTCAACCCAGGTTCTGCATCTCTGTCTTATTCATATGAGAAAACATTGGTATTTGTATCAGTATGTATACATACAAAATAGAATTCAAAAAAAATCTGTAATATGGAATTGACAATGAAAGTTTTATTTTATTATTTGTTAAAAAATACAATTCAAATCAACTACAGTCTAGAATTTGTGACCGTTCTTTTCATTTGTTTACCTTTTATCCTGTAACTCACTAAGAACAATGCATGGCCTTAATATTTTAGGTTAGCATTAATTTTTATAAAGAACAACTTCTTTTGTGTGTGTGTGTGTGATATATCACATGCGTTTCATACTATTTTTTTAAAGTGACAAAGCTTACGTAGTATAATTTGAGTGGTATCTATCTATTCCTCAACTACCACAAGACTATCAATACAGTTTCTGAATAGATGGGATTCAGCCATACCTTGCTCAAATATAGAGGTAGTTATTGTCATTTATTTTATATCAACAGTTTAAGGATATCGGGGGAAAACTATAAAATCAGTAGACTCCTCTAGAGACTGTCCCCTGTGGACAGGATTTCCTCAAAAGCACACTCACGAGGTGTTATTTTCCTGTCATACTGCAGGTAGCCTGGGCTAGATTTGAGGGAAGGTTGGGAACCCATGAGAATCCCCTTACAAGTTTCAGATTATAATTCTCCTTCCTCCTCTAAAAAAACCCTGCTCCGGGCTGTGCTCCGCAACAGGAGAGGCCACAACAGTGAGAGGCCCGCATACCGCAACAAAACAAAACAAAACAAAACAACCCTGCTCCAGTGAAACTCATGGCAATTAGCTCTACCTACCTACATCATTCCTGAACATTTACTCTCCTACAGTGGTTTTCCTGTCAGTTTCTCTCATTTATAGAAACTGGGTCTCCTAAAACAATTCATCTTGTCCATCCCAAATTCTGCAGGCATATGGAGGGACTTCAGCATCCACATGGATGACTCAACCATCTGATATCTCAGAACTTGAACTCTTCCTCTCTTAAACCTCTCCTCCAAGGCTTTTAGTTCCCCACCGTGATGGTCACAGCCTATACCTGATGATGACTCCAAAATGCCACACCTCCAGCTTACTGGAGGATTGTTGTATGTCGGGCAAGAGCTCCACCTGGTTTCTCTTTGGGAAAAAAGTGTGAGTGAAAAGATCCAAAACAGCACCCCAGTAATCTAATACATATGGATTTTCTTTCATTGATTGAATTAAGCGCCTTGGACTTCTGACTTCTCCTATTTAGCATATGAAAATAAAAAAGTCACTCATGTTCTTTACCAAAACTATTAACTTCAGCTCATCATAAAAATATTTTGGGTACATTAAAAAGTGTAATATTTTCTTTATATCATTGAGGTTATTTAGAGGTACATGTTAGTTGATGATCATAAAATATTAGGAATTTATATCTTATTAGATACCACTGAATGTTTGGTTTCTGCTGTGTGAATGTTGAAACTCTTGTTTTTAATAAGCAGTGAGTTTCAGGCCTCATATATTAACCCCATTGCTAACAGTTCCTTACACTTCTCTCCTTGCTGCTGCACCTTTCATTTTATATTTGATTTGGATGTGTTATAGTCATAAGTCAGAGAGCTCAATTGGGATATTGATGAAATACCTTTTCTGGGTAAAACCTAAAATATAATACCTTTTTCCCATTTTGTCTTGGAAAATGCATGGATCGGTTGTAAAGAAAGTAATTCCCGCCCTACATTTTTAGCTTTTTTGAATTATCCAGAGAGGTTTTATGACATAGGCACAGGCCCATGGAGCCGAACTGCCTGAATTTACCTTCAGGCTCTGTCACTTCCCTCCCAGTTATCTGACCTTGAACATATGACTTAACCTCCTTATGTTTTGGTTTCTTTCTCTGTAATCTGGGATTATGAATAGTACTTGCCTAATAGGGCTATGGTGAGAACTAGATGAGTAATGGGCATAGCGTCCTCACAACAGTGCCTGTAACAAACTGAGTTCCAGCAGAGGGGTAGCTCTTATCCTCTTCTCAAAAGGAATCATAAAACATACAGTCCTCACATACTCTTGTAATCAAAACGTGCAGGAAGACGGCAGCAGCAGCCAATAATAAGAAGTGTTTCATTGCTATCCCTGGAAAGAAAAGTAACATAAATTTAGACTATTGCAAACTTGTGGGATAATGTTTTGTAATAGAGCCTTTTTTGGAAACACTTTTACATATACCTGCAGTTTCTACAAAAAGAGACCTGCAGGATCAGAACAAGGTTGAATATGTTAGTCATTAGGACCAAGAGAAGAAGAGAGAACTGTGATTGGAAGAATAATAGACTTAATGTCTTAATCCCTGTAACCTTTGAATGTGTTACATTGTGTGACAAAAGAGAATTAAGGTAGCAGGTAAAATTCAAATTGCTAGCCAGCTGAATTTAAAGTAGGGATATTGTCCTGGATTATACACGTGAACTCAATGTCATCACAAGGGTACTTAGATGTGGAAGAGAGGGCCAGTGTCAATGATGGATTATGAGGAAGACTCAACTAGCCACGACTAACTCTGGAGATAGAGGAAGGGACCATGAGCTACAGAATATGGGCAACCTCTGGAAGTAGGCAAAGGCAAGGAAAAGGATTGTCCCCTGGGGTCTTCCTGCTG